CCTTTTCAAATTGTTTCCAACATAACTTCTGGCCTACTACCCTTATCCTTTTATACAGGGTTTTATACCACTTTTATGTTCCAGTGACCTTGTGGTTAGCCCACGGATCCTCTACACAAGGATAAACGACTCATCTGAGCTTATGTACAAAATGTAGGGAACGGTTTGTCTACATGCTTGATATGCTGTGTCCGCGCATAGAACAACACATAGAACATTTAGAACAATGCGTGCGCACCATGATCGCCAACAGCTGGTGTAATGTATTGTGCATAACCGGAACTATATGTTGGAACTATATCCCTTATGTGCGCATTGATAATCAACTCAGTAATGACGTCATGCCATGTGAGCATAATAAATCACCTTTCCAATATGGCAGCTCCCAGTATCATTGTCGACGTTATTTCCCCAGTATAACCCACGTAAATACATGACAGCTTGCGTCCTGACAGAAATTAAACCACTGAAATACTGCAGTTGCGCGGAGTGTCGCGCACGTGCACGCACAATGCGCAAGTGCCATATCACGCCTCTAACCAACAATTTGGGGAAATTGTTTATCCTTGTGTAGAGGATCCGTGGTTAGCCTAACCCAAGACCTTTTCACACTGTCCAAAATCTCCGTGTTGGAACCGGATCGAACCCCGAGATTTTTTCCAACCCTTTTCCCACTTCTAAAATGTCAACCCGGATCAGGGTTGAAATTCTCAACCTGACTGAACTTGCATTTTTCGGCCTGAATCGTGTTGAAAATGAGTTGAGTTCACTTGCGGCCGATCCATGTTGAGTTGAGGTGCAACATTCCACCGAAAATCTGATATGCCATACATATTTCCTGCCACCATACCCATCATTGCCAAAACAAATACCAGTCGATCATGAGACAATCGCTCCATAATTATCATCCAAAAATATCTTCCACTATGGAGCATCCTTTGCCGAGTCTGGGTTTGTATTTAATAAGCAAGCCTGTTTTCTCCGCAAAATGTACAAAAACATGTACATTTTTAATGTTAAATAGAACAAATTGTCTAACGAAATTGGCGAAGCCATTTTTGAAATATGTTGCACAACCGGTGTCATGAAAATCGGACTCCTATGAAAATTGTATTCCTTTATTGTATTATTGGTTAAACCCCCTCACGTGACCAGTCCTTCTCCTAATTATCATACTTAGGCATAAGCAATACTACCAATGAGTCCATCTTTCACAAAGTAGTAAATTCACTCTTTACACCTGTCGATAAGCCTCGTGCATACAAACAGCCTCAATCATGCATCATGTTGTGGGATCAAGACAATCATCACAGCACGCCAGGCCGAATGCGATCTATGTTGAAAATTTGTAGCATGAATACACAGGTGCCCTTGCCGGATTGAACGTTACATGGTTCACGTAGCAGCCAGTTCGTGTAAAGAACATTGTGAACGTTGAGTCCCTCCAATCCGTGTCGAAAACAACCCAGGCTGAATTGGGTTTAATATGGGTTGGTTTCAACCAATTCGAAAGTAAAGAGTGAATTTTTCATTGAAATACCACGTTCAGGACAAAAGAATATTATTGTCAGTGTATTATATAAGCCACTCAAGATTAATCTTGCTACTTTTGTTGACTCATTTGATGTTGTCCTCTAACAAATCAACCAAGAAAACAAACTTACTTTTATTATGGGTGATTTCAATATAGATCTTTTGCAATATGATTCTCATCGTTCTACTCAAAACTTTTGTAATAGTCTTTTTAGTCATTATCACAGGCCGTTAATTAATAGACCGACTCTATTACTGACACAACTGCAACCATCATTGACAACATCATTTCCAACAACTTTGATGATGATATGTCTAGTGGTATTCTCTTTACTGAAATTACAGATCATCTTCCTATCTTTCAGGTCTCCTCGTTAAAAGATACTAACCAGACTCAACACTGTGCTGACCAATTTAGAAGGGTAATTAATGCCTCTAATATTGCACATTTTTTCAAATGACCTAGGTAAAACTGATTGGAGTGATATTTTATCTAACGAGGATCCGAATCAAGCTTTTAATCTGCTTCATTCTAAGTATACCTCAATATATGACAAACACTTTCCTATACAAAAAGTTAAATCTAAAAGGATATCTAAACTTAAAAGTTGGATGACTACTGGTTTGATTAAATCTGTCAAGTATAAATATAGATTGTATAAAAAATATATGAATAAACCAACTACCTTAAATAAGCAGAAGTACACAACTTACTGTAATAAACTAAATACCCTGCTAAAAGAAGCCAAGGCTAAATATTATAAAGATAAATTTGACAATGCTAAAAATGATGATGATTATGATTATTATTATTATTATTGTTATTTATTCAGCCAAAATACAAGATACAACAAGTAATCCACAAAAGTAAACAAGACTAAACAAAAACAATCCAATCCAAGCTGGCCAGGATTGACAAAAGTATAATGAAACACTGTGACTCGAAAGCCTGTCAATCCTAACTTGAATGGTACATGATGTAAAAAAGACATGGAAGATTGTTAAACTCATACTTAATAATAGACCGGTCATCGTAAGTCAGACACGAAGCTTAACCACGAGGGTAGACAAGTAAAAAATGCCAATGAGATCGCTAATATATTTAATAATTATTTCACTAACATCGGCCCCTCATTAAATAGTAAAATACCCCAACCAGATGTTTCATTCAAAGAATTTTTAAAATATAACCATCCCGAATCAGTTTTTTTTATCCTACTAACCAAAAGGAGATCTGTGATATTGCTAAATCATTCAAGAACGTGCGGGATATGATGACGTATGCCCAGATGTTTTTAATCCGTTATTTCCCAGATTAGCCGTCCATTATGCTATGTTTGTAATTTGTCCCTTTCTGAGGGTATTTTTCCTGATAAACTCAAAACAGTCAAAGTGACCCCCATATTAAAAACTGGAGATCAGTGTTAAACCGGTAACTACAGACCTATATCTGTCTTATCATGCTTCTCTAAATTACTTGAAAAGATTATATTAGAACCTCTTCTTTTTTATCTAAATTTGACATCTTGTACAATGGTCAATATGGGTTTAGAAGCAATCACTCTACTGACATGGCGATAATGGATATGGTTCATAAGATCACTAAAGGTTTTGAGAATAAGTGCATATCTGTTGGTGTTTTTTTAGATTTATCAAAGGCGTTTGACACTATTAATCACAATATTTTGTTGCATAAGCTCAATTTTTATGGAATAAGAGGTACTCCTTTGGACTGGTTTTGTAGTTATATTTCTAATACTAAAAAAGACTCTTGCTCTTCTGCTTTGAATACTATCACATGTGGAGTTCCACAAGGATCTCTTCTGGGGCCTTTGTTATTTTCGTTGTACATAAATGATATTTGCATTGCTTCGACAGTCCTTTCTTTTATCCTCTTTGCCGACGACACCAATATATTTTACTCAAGTAATAACAAAAATGTAGATACTATTGTAAATTTTCTCAATTTTGAATTAAACAAAGTATCGGTTTGGCTCCAGGCTAACAGATTGTCACTTAACTTGAAAAAATGTACATCTATGGTTTTTCGAAGTAGTAAAAAGAAGTTGAATATATCTAATTGTCAAGTTAAAATTAATAACGAGCCTATACTGCGAGTGTCAAACACCAAATTTCTTGGGGTTTATATTGATGAATGTCTTTCATGGAAATTCCACATAAAAGAATTAGAAAACAAAATTTCCAAAAATATTGGCATCATGAGCAGATTGAAGTATATTCTTCCGTTGAGCATTTTGCATACTCTATACTGTTCATTAGTTCTCTCTTACCTCTCTTATTGTAACATTATTTGGGCCAACATTTACAAGTCAAATCTTGATAAATTGATTAAACTACAGAAAAGGGCAATTCGTATTGTATGTAAGGTGCACTTTAATGAACACACTGCTCCTTTATTTATGAAACACAAGCTTTTGTCTCTCATGAATATTAATGTCTTTCAGCAAAATGTTTTTATGTATAAATTTGTAAACAACCAACTTCCTGAATCGTTACACAACCTCCTTCAATTTAATAGATTCATTCATGATTATAATACTAGGTCCTCATCCAAATTACATGTACCTCAAGTCAGAACAACTCTTGCTCAACACACCATTTCTTTCTCTGGACCAACAAAACTGGAACTGTCTTTCACCATCTTTAACTAATTGCCCTTCAAGTAATACATTCAAATATAAACTAAAAACATTCCTACTTAATTCTCAGAATACCTGATTTATTATTAAGTTGGCTTAGCCGCTATTGATATGTTATTTATTATCGTGTCTACTTTGATTAACCGTTATATATTTAACAGTTGTTATTATTTCAAATTTTATAATAAGTGTTGTTTGTCTTGTTTTGTCTTATATTGTTTGGCACATCCACCACAAGCTTTGGCTTTTTAGGATGCTGCCTCCACAGAGTGGAAATAAATGTTTATGAATTGAATTATAAATTGAAACTGAGATGGTGTGAAAAGGCCTCAATGTGTAACAGAAGAGGGTGCTGTAATCATAAAGGAGTGATTGATTTGTGACATTTGATGCTCAATAACAACCCTAACAATCAGCTTGAGAATTCCAATTGTGAAATACAATGTACACAATAGGGGAATGCTGTTTCGATTGGGTAAACCCTCTTTTTTTTACATATCTATTCAACCAACTTTACCCAAACCAAATACTGCCCTCCTATTATATGTATCTCATGAAGGTTAATGATGTGACTGGAAAAAGCTATTTTTACATGGAATGTTATGAATCCAGTATGAAAAGTGAATGTGCATGAAGACTTGATATAAAATTATATTAAAAATGTTGCTTGTTATGTTATTTACATCATCAACATTGCTGTTGCATGATGTAAAATGGGTAGTAAAAATGTGTTTTCCAAATATTTGTACGGATGCCTAACATAAAACGTTATCTTTTGAACTTTTTTTAATTTAAATATGCAGTAGACCGAGGATTTGCTCTCCGAGAAAAACTACCACCCAAGGATCCTCCTCCACCACTTCCTCAAACTTCCTTCAAACCTCAGCTGCACTTACCATTGTCTAAGGAACTGAAAAAAGATCACCAACACCCTGTATCTGGACGGTCAGAAAATAAGTTGTTTTCTCCATCCATTTCTCCGATGCAAAAACGACGCATGTGGCACTTATCCCAAACTAATCATGTCTATCCGTACAAGAACCCTCCCCCTCTGCCACTACGGCAACCAGGTACAGAGAAGGACATCAAAAAAGTTGAATTCTCTGGACCAAAATATGAGGAGCCTAGCAATCCACACAGTGAAATTCCTCCACCTTTGCCTCCTAGACAGAGTACATCTGAAAAAGACGCTGACATTAAACAAAAGACTGCTGATCAGCGCTCAAATAAAACCAAAATTCAACAAATGACAAGCACAAAGAAGAGTAAAAATGGTGGACAGTCATTTTGGCGTAATTTGAAGCAGGCTAAGGTGTTTTCGTCATCTACAATGACTGCAGTGAATAAAAACAAAAGCCCTCCTCCCCTCCCACCTCGTATTGCTGCAAATAATGATTACTCCAATGAGTTTCCAAGGCATCTCTCAAGTGATGTGAGCAAGGAAGGCAAGGACAGTTCATCAGATGATATCGCACCAAGGCCAGGTAAGCCACTTTTCATAGCAAGCATGAGAAAGAAGGTAGCGCCAGTATCACACCCGGAGTAATTTACACTTATCATAATTTATGCTATGTCACCATTTCACCACCGAGATCATGTGGCATCACTGGAAACATGAATAATAATGCAATATATGTGCACTAGCACACTTATGCACATGGGATCGGTCAGGACCGTCCCGGATGATGGATGCATGGCCTTGTTTTTTGTACACGTGCATAATCATAGCGCCTTGGACAGACTTAAATTATAGGCTTGTAAGCCAGGATATAGGCCACTGAAAACTGCGCAGAAGCCTCGAGTGTAAAACAGTTTTCGCTTCATTTATTTAAATTAAACAGCAGTACGTGGTGAGTAAAAAAAAAGCTTAACCCAAACCCAAAAAATATATATCATATTTAAAGAAATATGTTGCGCCAAATATAATAATGACTGGAAAACCAATTTCAGAAACTAATCATTAGATGAAAAAAATTACTGAAATTGCTCAATCCGTTCAAAGAATATCATAATTAAAATGCAATGACCCTAAAACCTGTTGCATCCCCCCCCCAAAAAGCAACTGTGTATATATTCTGACTGTTTGGACTACAAAAAAAAAATGACACAGAATACACAATATCTTTATTAACAACCCTGGTCATTAGGCAAACAATGTGATTAATAAAATCCACGTGGTAAATTCAAAATTCTTTTTGCATTAGGTTCGGTAGGCCATAGATACATTTTTTTTAACAAAATAATTGATTGTACTGGAAAGGATTTAATTTTGTGATCCTTTGTTCTTACATAAACATATTCATAACTTAACTCGGTAGTGTTTATTGAAAAAATTGCCTGCCCGACCACTCAGTGTTTGTAACTCAACAAAAGCAAAACCTCTAGTTTTTTTTTAGCTGTTCCGGTTTACGCCGAAACAGCTACTGTTTTTGTAATTTTTTTTTTTCCACTCCGTTTTCCCTAGGATAACACATGTTTTCGTTCGGAGCAGCTTTTTTGGACTTTTTTTCAAATCCGATTGACTTCAAATCTGGCACACACTTAGACCACTATCTAAAGATGTACGCTGAATCATGACGTCATGATTACGTGCATATTTTAAGGCCCTATATCTACAGAACGGGAAGTCCGATTGGGTTCAAACTTCGTATGCAGGTATTCCGAGACATGTTATAGACAAAAATTGATTTTATATGAATTATTCAAATTTTTGACATTTTAGTCATATCTCATCAACGAAACGTGGTAAATTCAAAAAAAAAATTGTATTAGATTCGGTAGGCCATAGATACATGCAAAAATGTGTGACGTCATTATGACGTCCTACATGACAGTTCTTGATAAATCTGTTGCCGAAACAGCTATTTGATTGTCCACAATCACAGGTCTACTTTTTTTTAGTTTTCCTTTTTCATACACCTCTCCATAGGTTTTGTATACTTATTTCTTCTGACCATACACTTTGGCATTTTTGTAAGTCCGATAGACTTCAGACTGGGCGCATTACTTGGACCACCACCCATAGATGGTTCTAGAAAAAAATTGTCATCATGGCATCATCAGGTGTCAGGTTACGTCACATTCAAAGTGCGTATTGCAGAGCCTTATATCTTTGGAAGTACAAGTCCGATTGGGTTGAAAATTTGTGGGTACATAGACAGGGACGTGTTATAGGTTAAAAATTGAGGTGACGCCATGATGACGTCATCAGGTGTCAATTTACATAACATTAAACATGCATTTTGTGGCCATAGACTTTCTACACATTGAAGTTCATGGTAAACTCATTATCTGTCTAAGGTTACAGGGTATCACTACTGGTCCTAGAGGCCTTTTAGTCTGGACTCACAGAGGCGTCGTAAAGTTAATTCCCAAAAGAGGGAGGTAACTGCTGTACTTTGACCCATTTATGGTTGATTTCATATTGCGTGTACTTAAACTGTGCTTTTCTTACTGGCCTTATTCAATATGTTTTATCCAACTATTGATTTCCTTTATTCTCTTTTTAGTTAGGGAGTACTTTGTTCTGTTCGTTGTATCCATTAACAAAAGACACCTAGACATGGATGTGTTACACAGGAAAATCTAACTGACGTCAGTTATTTCAAACAGCCGAAACAGCTTGTTTTTGTCCACAAACACAATTCTAGATGGTCAGTTTTGGTTATTACATTACTAGTCAGTTTTTAGTACATTACTGGTTGCTTTATTACGGCAACAATTAATACATTACTGTTCAATATTACATTACTGGTTAGTATTACACTACTGGTCAATTATTACATTACTGGGAGCCAAAAGTGTTCCTCTCAAACAGACCATGAGGCAGAGAAAAAAAGTCTTATCCAAGCGATTAGGTGGAGGCCCTCCAGTTAACAGAGTCCAACCTGGGAGTGGCTGGATGAAGAAGTGGTGATTGTAAGGACTTCCTGATTTGCTGTATTACCAAAGTGCTTTAGGACTGAGGGCCCGAACATTGGGCAGAGTATGCAAAGGGCATAGCATGTATACTGATGGAGATCCGACTTGGCCAGCCGCAAGGAAGCAAGACTGGATTGTTCGCGTGTTTGTTGCAAGTCACTAATGTCCTTCGGATGGTGAACTAAGAGCCTGCTGAAAGTCTGAGATAACTCCGTCCCTCCTTTCCTATAAGGACTATTAGTCGGGCGGCTTAGACCCAATTTTCGACAAGATCGTGACCGACTAGTCTAAAGCACCAAACTTGGCAGATAGATTCTTATAGCCCTAAAGAAGATATTTAGAAGGGGTGAAACCTGCAATTATTTTGGGAAGGGTGCCTAATCTGCATAAATGGTTAATCCCTGCCGTGTAATATATTTATTCCCATATTTGGGTATACCTTAATTTTTATATAATTTGAAAAGTATATTTTGGTGATTCTACTTTCACATCCTTACTCCAATAACATTTTCTAAAACATATAAGCGACTGCAGGGAACTACAGACCAGTTAGTCTCACCAGTGGTCTGCGAAGTACTTGAAACACTCATTAGAAACTCCCTGGTTGACTACATAAAAGACAATCAACTATTCAGCACAAGGCAATCAGTAAGGGACCAATCTTGTTTGTTATCTATATCAACTCGCTACTAGAGATGGCTCAGGACTCTGAAGTATACCTCCCTTGCTGATGATACAAAGATTTTTAGGCATATCTCATCCGAGGAGGACTGCAAAATGCTCCAACATGACATAGATCGTATGGTCGAATGGACTCACGACTCACCACTGAAATTCCATCCTGACAAGTGTACAGGAATTGAGAGTACTACGAATACAGGAATTAAACAATACACAATGGTGAAAATCGGCATCAACTAAACAGAGTAAAAGAAGAACGGAACATCGGGGTCATCATTGATGAAAAGCTATCTTTCTGCTGCCACATGGCTTCAAAAATAAACATGGCCAATTCCATCATGGGTCTAATCAGACGGACATTCAAGTACTTGGACAAGGAAAGTTTCCTACTGCTCTACAAAGCACTGGTAAGGCCTCACCTTGAATATACCAACCAAGTCTGGGCACCGCACCATAAAAAGCACATCACTGCAATAGAAAATGTCCAAAGACGAGCAAATAAACTCATCCCTGGCCTGAAAGACATGTCTTATGAGGACAGACTGAAGCACCTGGAATTACCAACCTTAGCATACAGACGCTCAAGAGGGGACCTGATCGAAATGTTCAAAATACTCATAGGGAAATACGACACAGATGTAACAAACTTCATCCAACTCGACACTAATGGCACAAGGGGTCATCAATATAAAGTAGCCAAGATCAAAACCTGGTTGGATTTGAGGAAATTCTTCCACGTGCACCGATCAGTAGACGCATGGAATAGACTCCCCAACTTTGTTGTTACGGCACCTAGTGTCAAGTCGTTTGAGGCTAGATTAGACAAGCTCTGGGCATCTCAACCATTCAAGTTCGACTTTGAAGCACCAACCCCCTCTTGCATGCGCACATACAATTTTAACCAGAGTTACGAAGATCTGATGAGAGAGACCTACAAAGGCCTAATATCAGTAATATCAATACGTGACACAACATTGGCGCCCTCTGTCCTCATCATAACTGGAGTACTGTCAGTATCATACAGAACAGAGCAGAACATGGGCAACACTGCAGAGTAGCTGAAGAAGTCAGTGCAGCACCTGAATCATCATACCAATGACTTCGGTATGGGCAACCGAAGCCGGAAACAGAAGGAATGGCAGTGGCGATCCAGGACCAAGTCATGCGCACACACTCATGTGAAAAGAACATCCTAAGACTGCAAGTGGCTGGAACGTGCCGAATGTGTGGTGAGAGTGAGGAAACAATCAACCATGTTATCAGCGGATGTAAGATCAGGCAATTGTGTCGCCAAACAGGTATCAATGCTGCACGCAGATGGTACGAGGACTACGAGCACACTCTTCCCCCAGTTGCAGAAAATGATGTCATGAAGCTGCTGTGGGATCAGCCAGTACAAACAGATCGTACCATCATGGCTAACAAACCTGACATTATCGCCAAAGACAACGACAATCGAAGTCAGCATTCCTGCAGACGGCAACATCAGAAGGAAGTTTGCCGAGAAATGTGACAAATACCAAGACCTGAGGATGGAGACCCAGAAAATGTGGCACGTCAAAGCCACCATACATCCTGTCTTCGTTGGTTCAACTGGTCTCATGCTGAAGAAAACAGTCCAACAAGCTGAACACCTTGGGGTACAGACACACCTTCTCCAATGGACAGTCATCCTCCTGGTGCATCATCAACTGCATCATCAACTGCAAAGTGGCTAAACTGCTTTTCTTTGGACTAATCAAAAGCTGTCCGCTGGCTGATAAAGCTATGTTAACTAGAAATAATAATATTAGGGAGACATTCGCATAGACTTGTGCACACATTTTTTTCCAACTTAAATGACCCCTAACCCCAATTTTACCTTATTCTAACTATTCTACACTAATTTCGATGTTTTTACATTGGACCACGAGCAATCAATCCAACCTATTTGCCACAATACAGTTTTGCCTCTAAGGTTATACTTGTTATTATAATTAACTTTATTTATTGATTTTATTGATGGTAGCCATGTCATCGCGGGGATAATTTTCAATGGGCCATCATTAAAAAGTCAGTATAAAACTACATTAAAAAATTTACAATACAGTTGACATCAAATAAATAAATAAATAAATGTACAGGAGGCTTGAAATACAATAAAGTAAGAGGCTAAAAATTCAACACTCGAGGAAACTCAGACCAGTCCAGACTCCCAGAACATACTGACTGGAAAGACGGAGAGACAAAAGAACAGGACACAAGAATCACTGACTAAAATTAAGGACTATAAAACCATGAACATCATAGAGCCCTAAAGACTTAATAATAATTACCCAGTGTTTTACAACTGTACCTGATGGACTCTTTGCGAATAGACCAGAATGAATGCAGCTTTTCAGGACTTTGCGCCGCATTACAACACATACAAAGTATCCGTAAATGGGACAATTATCAGTTCGTCACTTGTAGGAGAATCTAGTTTTGATCCTAGACACATGCACACGAGTAAGGCCGTTTTTTTTTCATTACTTGGATTACGGAATTTTTGGGTCCCCATTTCCGGCGGCGAGCGGGAGATGAAAAAAAAAAAAAAAAAAAAAAAATGGGGGCGCCCTATCATCCAACATGGCGGCGCCCATAGAGACATGAAGAAACAAAAACGGGCACGAGAATGAACAGTCACTGCATTTTCAAAACCACGGTTTCAAAGAAATAGTGACCATGGAGTGACCAACGGCCCTTTCCTTTCTTTATTTCTTCAAACCTGTGCAATAATTGGTACTGGCGTATATTTTATGAGTTTTGTAATGCTCTGTGTACAAAGAATGGCAGCAACTAAATGAAAAACCGTGGCTCATAACAAACGCGTAGACTGTAGGTTCCGGGTGCTGTGGCATCGTGAACGTACATGACGTGACCCAGTACAGTGCATAGCTAGCTAGCTAGGTTGTCCGATTCCATGCATGCACCAAACAGGTCAGAGGACTAGACCACTATTCACTACGGGGGAGCGGTATAGTTTCACTGTACATGTACTGTTGAACAGAACGTGACCCGTAATTTCAGAATATCTAAAGTATATATTTCTAACAACGCCTTTCCAAACATCTCCTTTAGAACAATAGAAATACACATTTTACACAAAAGGTGCAAAGGTACGACTTTACTCACCATACATGGCTGCGCGCGGCCCGCACGGCACAGTCTGTAGTCGTCGCCAGTCTAAGTCATGTCGTTCGATCAAACCAGTACTAATACTATGGTTTACAGGCCTGGACAGCGCGCAATATAGAGTTTTTTGTACAATAGGCACATGTTTTTTTTTTTTAAGTTTTTTTTTGGGGTAGTCAGAATCGACAATTTCCGGCGGCGATTTTTTTAATTTTTTTCAAAATTCCGATTTTTTCCAGCGGCGATTCCGTAATCCAAGTAATTAAAAAAAAACGGCCTAATGCTTTAAAAAAAAACTATATCATTCGTACACATTCACAAAATGCATAACCCCACATACATGCCCATTGCAAGCGCTTGTAGAACCTGCTTGTAGAATGCATTCTTAAAGACAAGGTTCACACACATTTTTGTAACCCCATTGATCAAAGGGGCCTAGAGTGCGTACGTATTTAATACCTGAGCTCAACTGGTGCGAGCCTGGTGAAACCTCAGAAAACGATTGTTGCAGGATTAGTCTGTGGTCATGTCTACATTAGGCCATCAGCCTGGGGGTTTGGTCAGTATCAAATGAGGGGAATAATTCTCATTGTGATTTTTGGCACGGTATGCACCCCTGTAGTTGGAAAATATGTGATAGCATTGCAGCGGTGGCAGCTTTTTGGGTGCAATCACTTTATAAACAAAAACGGCAGCCAAACCCTGTTTGTTACCACATATTATATAATTAATTCGGTAACAAGTATATTGGCGGCCATTTTGAAAAAAGAAATGTAAAAGTGATAACACCCGAAAGACTGCCACCACTCACACTGCAAAGCTATCACACATTTTCCAATGTGCATACCTTGCCAAAACTGGCTATGAGCATTGCTCCTTTCGATCATTTTGATACCGGTGGCCAAATTTTGGACTGAAGCTGTTAGCCTACATCAGACTTTTTTGATAAATCGTACGGAGGCTGCTGTCAACTTGACCAAATTAAATCTAGTGCGGAGAGCCAGTAAACTTTACAAATTGTTAAGTGTCGATCGTCAGTTGCTTGTTTATCCCTCCGCAGCGGGAAGTTTTACAGGGCCAACCAGGTCGCAGAAGAGTTACATCCTCAGTATTACATCACTGACAAATCCAATGCAGAAAGTTGCTGCATGAAAAATGTACAGTTTGATATTATGGTTTACGTAGCCAAGGACTTTCTGCTGGCCATGAATAAACCAACTGGGGACACATGGACGAACAGTGGAATGTTAATAATCAATAACGATAACTTTTACTTTACTTGTCCAATGCGAATGCAGCTTATATGAGATAAATAATATGCAACACAGTGTATATGAGGTAATTTGTTTGCAAGACAGTGTATAAGAAGTAAACTGTCATTTTTTTTAAAACTTGACAAGTGGCCATTCTAAACCAATAAGATTACAGTATTCAAAACGCAATATAATTATGTTTGGCACATGAGCTGAAATTTTGATATTTCATTTATTCTCTTTATTGATCAGGAATTCATATCTTGAATGTGGAGTGGATAATGTAAAAAAAAAATAACAGCACGGGTCAAATGCTGATCTAACAAAAAAATTGTCATGGAGAACATTCCGGTGGGGAAAAAAAATGTTTTTATTTTAAAATGCATGTTTGTTATGTATGTTGATGTGAAATAATGCACACAATCACTTTGTATACCATGGCTTATAATAGTTTTGATGTTTCTATAACTATTTCATCAATTGCAGCTTTTATTCCTCCCCCGCCGGCACCACCCCCTCCTCCCGAGATAGCTGCACCAGTCACAAGAAAATTTGAGGTGACCTCCAAGGTGAAAATGCGACCATTTCATTGGAACAAAGTGTCGGCCCTCATGGTAAGTTTTTGATAAATTATGGTTTAACAAACAAATAGTAAGAGTTAACACACCCAGGGTTCAGCACTATTGTCCTCATTTGCACAATCAATCAGCTAACTTCTGTATGCCATTCATGATTTTACACTGAACAAGAACACAGCCACCTGCAAAGCTCTCTTATTAGTTAACCTTCAAAATTTCTGCCTTGATATGAGTGAATTCTGCCTTGATTCTCAGTGAATTTTTAAATAAGAATTCAGCACCTGTTCTCTGATCAAAGGTGGGAAAGGCTCATGCATACTTCTTGAATGGTCAGTGTCTACAAGTATTTTTTCCCTTCTTTCGACCACTGAAGTTTGAGGAAGTCAATCCCGACAAGCTTTAAAGGCTTGCTGGATGAAATGTTAACTACTGGTACCTTGGTCTCTAGCAGCTCTTACAGTGCTCACACCACAGCTTAATGTCCTCTGCCATCACCTGACCATATCAAGTATTCAATCATACCCTTTATCCAAAGATGTCATACAGGGTCCCAAAAAAGCGGAAGCCCAAACCCCCAAAAATATATTTCATATAAAAAAAAATGTAACACCAAAAATATAAGTGACTGGAAAGCCAATTTCATAAGCTACTTTTAGATGAAAACAAAATTAATGAAATTGCTCAATCCATTCGTATAATATCTCCATTTAAATGTAATGACCCTTAAACCTGTTTTGTAAAAAAAAAAAAAAAGGAAATTGTTTGTGTATTCTGACTGTTTGGCGCATGAACATCAAAGAAAATGACAGAATACTTTTTCAACAACTGTCAATAACTTTAAAACATAAATATCTTCATTAAAAACCCTTAAAAACTTTTCAACTCAGGTTTTATCGCGATGTTTGAAGACAATTGTGACGACAATTCTTGAAATCGCATTTTTGGAAGAAAGAGGTATTAGGGTCATTCTGACGAAATGGTGATTTCTATACTGCCACTCTCTGGCAGATATGGAATTCCATGGGATAGGATCGCGCATGCACAAAAATGAGTCCCAGCAATAGTGTGTGTATTAAAGATGTATCTTTGACTCTTATTTGATTATTATTATTATTCTGGTTTATTCGTATAAAAACATGAGGTAGGCAGCCACAAAAGAGTCGCTGATATAACCACGTTTACACTTTACAGGAATTAAAAATTGTTAAATAGCAGTTAAAAGGAATAGAAGCATAAAATTACAACAAAGTATAGGATCATGTTTATACAACACAAAACAGCACAATATTAAAACAACTGATTTATAAACTTTAAAAAAAATTCATTATGTTTCCCATCCAAGAGAGACGTTACTGTACCTAAAAGAAAACCACCATTTTAAGATGGAGACATTTGATATTGCACTAAGTTGGTTTCTAAAGGGTGCTTCATGGCATCAATAGATTTAAAAGATGCACACTATTGTGTTCCAGTGCACCAAGATTTTAGGAAATTTCTTCGATTCTTTTGGAAAGAATCCTTGTTTCAATTCACCTGTCTGCCAAATGGGCTTTCATGTGCACCACAAAAGTATACGAAACTGATGAAACCAGTGTATGCCTCTTTGCGTCAAATGGAACACAGTGTCACAAGTTCAGCAGCACACTACATCCTCTGAGGAAGAGGTTATCTCTGATAGCAGGGTATATACCAGAAAAACTTCAAGAGAGTCAAAAATATCGGAGCGGGCTACCTCTCTCATCCTCTGTGCATGGTGTAACGCCCTCTTTCGAGCAGTCTAAATATAGTCTTGTATAATGGCCACTAATAAAGTAACCCAGATCAATGTTACCAGAGAACATAATCTCCTAGAATCAAGCACTATCCAATAAATAACATTAAGTATTTATATGGTGTCAGATTGGTTACGTCCTGCTCCCCACTGTACAAGTGAGATTCATGATTTTGGACACTGTTTCAACAAACTTTCGGCGACCTCTTTCGATTCCGCCCATTGCCATCGTTCATCTTCAACGGGGAACATACGCACGCTCATGAACTCATCGATTCACGAGTCGACTGTATGACTGTGTGTACAATGTGCTATGGAATGGTAGCATATTTAAATGAACTTTATGGACGATACTTCGTGAATTAAATGGACACTAGATTCTTTGTTGTCATTTATGTAGATCAGAGGTTAGCACTAACATTATTTTGAGAGATTATTGTACTCAATAGTGGGGCTGTTGAGTGATATGGTTGTGTACTTTATGACCTAAAGCATGAAACTTTGCACATTGGTTCTTCATGCCATAAAGAAAATTGTCAGATATGGATACATTTCATGTTTGACTCTAGTGACCTTTGAGAGGTCAATGACCTTTACATACACTATTTATAACAATTGTTATTGAAAACTCCACTTTCTTATGACCCAAGTTTATGTCATAGGATTTCAGGCCATGAAAATAAAGATCAGATGTAAAAGCAAAAACAATGTTTGACCTTTAGTGACCTTCCAGAGTTCAATGACCTTTGTATACATATTTATCGTTATTATGATTTACTCTATAAACCCCAACTTTGTCAAGACCAAGACTTTTTCAAGACCAAGTCTTAATGTTAGGTGTTCATGCTATGATCATTTTTCATATGTAGGGCATTTCATATCTGACCTCTGGTGACCTTCAAGAGGTCAATAAAGTTTGTATGCCTTATCATAGATATTTATAAGATTTATTCAAAACCCAACTATTTTATGACCCAGGTCTAAAAGTTGGCTCTTTGTGACATGAAAAGAATTTTCAGACATGGGGACATCATATCTGGCCTTTGGTACCCTTTGATAGGTCAATGAATTTTATATGCCCTTATTTGTCGCTATTTTTCATATTTATTCGTGAAAACGCCTTTTTTTTGTGACCGAAGCCTCAATATTGCAAAAGGAAAGGTATTGCACCTATTATTATACAGTCATGTAATGAATTCATATCCCACAAAAAAATTTGGGGTGACATCTGACCTCCATTTCCCTTTTTCAATTGGCAGACTCAACACGTTGCGACTGGGATAGAAGACTGTTGGACTTTCTATACAATGTAATATGTACAAATGTCTAGCAATAGTCACTCTTGTGTACTTATTACACTCTGTGGTATCTAGATGGATTTGGGTCACCACACTTTTAACCTTTTTACCAAGCCCACTGGTCACTGTTAGAGTGTGATTCTTGTCCAATGTACCTCTTGTATTCTGTTGCGCCCCTGTCTGCCCTTCAAAAAGGGAAATGGAGATCAGAGGTCCTAACAAAGTTGTCCTTGGGGTCTGAATTCATGACATGCTGTAGAATGATACTTAAAATACACTTGTTTTGAACTATTTAGACTTGGGTCATGAAAAAGTGGCATTTGAAATATTTAATAGATAAATAGCGGCAAATAGGGTATGCAAAGTTTATTGACCTCTTAAAGGTCACCAGGGGTCAAATATAAATGTTAACACAACTGAAAATTCTGTTCATGTCACGAAGAGCCAACTTTTAGACCTGGGTTATAAAAAAGTGGGGTTTTGAATAGTAAATCTTATAAATATTTATAAATAGGGCATACATAGTTCATTGACCTCTTGAAGGTCACCACCAGAGGTCAGATATGAAGTGTCCTTCATATGAAAATGTTCTTCATAGCATGAACACCTAACTTTCAGAGTTGGGTCTTGAAAAAGTTGGGATTTAAAGTGTAAATCTTATAAATAACAATAAATACTGTATATATAGGTCATTGACCTCTGAAAGGTCACCGGAGGTTGTTGTAAAAAATATTGCATGACTGGTACAAGTCTATTCATGTCTATCCTTGGTTACGTATGCAACGTACACACAATTGTACTAGTGTGTTATGTGTACAACCTCCCTGTAAACGATCAGACGATTGTCAATAAATCACTCCGTGTGGAAGCCGATATATAATCTCTCCAGCCTTGTCAGTAATACTACATGGTGTCAGAAGTATTAAAGGACCCTTGGGACTGCAAAACCAGCGAAAATAGGTGCAAAGTGGCTGACTGTCTGTCGCTTATTCTGGAAAATTCCACGTACATTCAGCGTGTGTATTACGTACTGTACAATACCGTAGGCCCTATGGTACAGTGTAGGCCCTGTCGTACAAACATTGCACTGTGTGTGAATATGTTTTCGGCTACTGTGTGCACAAAATAGATAAACTATTCTTGCAGTGATGGATGTACTGCCGCCGCCAAGCGCACTTGAACTTACCGGTAATGTGGCGGAAAACTGGAAAAGGTTTAAACAACGTTTTCAGTTATACATCGATGCAATTGGGGCATCGAAGAAGGACGACAGACAACAAACGTCGATCCTGCTGCATGTTATCGGTGAGCAAGCCCTTGACGTTTACAATACATTCAAATGGGATGAAGAGGGCGACCACGAAGGGGATAACATGCGCCTGGCAAAAGTAATGGCCAAACTAGAGAAATGCTGCACCCCCAAGACCAACTTGACACTGGAGAGATTTCACTTCAATAACTGTTGCCAGCAACCTGGTGAAGGCATTGACGCGTACCTCACTAGACTAAAAAAGCACAGCAAAAAGTGTGAATTTGGCCCACTACAGGATTCGCTGGTCAAAGATAGACTGGTATGCGGCATCGTCGCTAATGTAACAAGAGAACGCCTGCTTCGAGAGGAAGACTTAACTCTCGAAAAAGCAGTCAAAATCTGCAAGGCTGCTGAGTTAGTGAAAGAGCATTTAAAGGAGCTACAATCAACAACTCCAACAGTACATGCCGTGCAGAAAAATCCATCTGCAAAACCAAAACCGCAGGGAGCTAATAGAAAACCCCAGGCAACAGCTAAGCCACAGAATGCACCTAAAGGAAAGCCCAGTTGCTGGAAGCCCAGAAATGATCAACAGCAACAAACTAGTGACAAACATCACTGTAGACGCTGCGACAACTGGCATGTCTCGGGAAAATGCCCAGTGTACGGTGAAACATGTGCTTACTGTAGAGGCAAAAATCATTTTGCCAAGTGTTGCTTCAAGAAACGTGCACAGGGCCAAGTGCACACAGTAGACAATGACGAGTCCACTGACTTTTTTCTGGACACCATTACGGTAGATTCAGTCAAGACACAAGCAAATGACTGGATATTTTCCCTCGCTATGAATGGTACAATCATACCTGTCAAATTGGATACAGGGGCACAGGTATAAGCCACTACTACACCCAGCCACAGAGACACTGAAAACCTACAACCACAGCCAGATAATCGTCAAAGGCAAGTGTGTAGTGACTGTGGACCATGCAGCACGAAAACACAAAATGCTGTTCTTCGTCGTCCCAGGTGATAAACAAGCACTGTTGGGTAGACAAGCTTGCGAACAGTTAGGGCTTGTCAAAGTAGCCTGTGCTGTCACGAATCAGGAGCAACCAAAAGACCCCAACGACAACTACGCGAACCTGCTACACGAATACGGTGACATATTCGAAGGACTGGGTTGTTTGCCAGGGATGCACCCAATCATCATTGATGAGACAGCACAGCCAGTTGTACATGCCTGCCGCAAAGTACCATTTGCACTCCATAATGGTCTAAAGAGAGAACTTGAACGTATGGAGAGTCTTGGCGTCATCACCAGAGTGGATGAGCCTACCGACTGGGTTAATTCTCTAGTCGTTGTCAAGAAAAAGAATGGAGACATTCGTGTGTGCATGGATCCGAGAGATCTCAATCGTGCCATTAAACGAGAGCACTACAAAATGCCCACGCATGTCATGTCACAGTTTGCGGGTGCATCTTACTACTCCAAATTCGATGCATCACAAGGATTTTGGCAGCTTCAACTGGTTGAGAAAAGCAGTCGCTTGTGTACATTCAACACGCCGTTCGGTAGGTACAGATATACGAGACTACCGTTCGGCATATCATCAGCACCAGAGGTCTACCATAAAACTGTTCACCAAATCTTCGAGTCAATCGATGGTGTCAGTACCTTCGCTGACGACATCATCATCTATGGAGCAACCAAAGAGGCCCATGATCGCAGCCTACGACTGACACTTGAAACAGCACGTCAAGTGAACCTGAAGCTGAACGGAAGCAAATGTGAAATTGGCGTCACACAGCTCACATTCATTGATGATCTGGTAACGACAGATGGTGTTAAACCAAACCCCAATAAGGTCGCGGCGATCAACAACATGCCCAAACTAGAAAACGAGCAAGAGCTTCAGCGCTTCTTGGGCATGGTAACATATTTGGCCAAGTGGATCGCGGGACTCTCGCAAAAATCAGCCCTGCTTCGAGCACTGCTGAAAGATGACAACGAATGGCAGCGGGGTCCAGAACAGGACAGCATGGAGTGACCTGAAGGCTACAGTATCTAAGGACCCAGTTCTTCAGTACTATGACTCAAATTGCCCAATACGCCTGTCATCCGATGCAAGTAAGGACGGTCTGGGAGCAGTGATCCTCCAACTTCACGACGACAAGTGGTCGCCCGTGGCCTATGCATCGAGAGCCATGACAAGCGCAGAGACTCGCTATGCGCAGATAGAGAAGGAGCTTCTTGGAATTGTCTTTGCATGCGAGCGCTTTCATCAGTTTATCTACGGAGCTACGGTCGAGGCCGAAACAGACCATAAGCCTCTCATCAGTCTGTTTAAGAAGCCACTGAACGATTGCCCACTCAGAGTGCAACGGTTGCTGCTCGGGTTACAGAGGTATGACTTGCACATAGTCTACACCCCTGGGAAGCAACTGGTGGTCGCAGACGCCCTAACACGTGCACCAGACCGAAAAGCTGATCAAGGGTAAGCAGCACAAGTGCAAAGCCTTGATGACTTCGTAGAAGCATTTGTAGACATGATCATCGAGAAAATGCCTGTATCTGACAACAGAATGAAGCAGATACGTGAAGCTACTCAAGCTGACGACCAGCTGACCAACCTGAAGCAGGATATACTACAGGGTTGGCCAGAGGCGAGCAAACAATGTCCAAGTGACATTCGCCCCTTCTGGAATATTCGAGCTGAACTGACAGTGGCTGAGGATGTCATATTGAAGGGTACGAGAATCGTTATCCCTCGAGTCCTGCGCAAAGATGTATTGCTCAAGGTTCACGAAGGGCATATGGGGATAGAGAAATGTCGCTGTCGTGCCCGTGATGTTGTCTACTGGCCAAACATGAACGCCAAAATCAGCGACATGGTAAGCCAATGCGATGCTTGCCAGAAATATCAACCCAGCCAATCCGTGGAACCACTAAATCCACATGAGATACCAGTTCGAGCATGGCAATGAGTTGGAGCAGACATTGGTACCGTCAAAGGAAAGGAGTACTTAATTGTCTGTGACTACTACTCGGGATATCCAGAGGTGGTAACCCTAACCACCACTACAAGCAAAGCTGTAATCAATGCCATGAAATCAATGTGTGCTCGACATGGCGTGCCAGATGTGGTTATTTCAGACAATGGACCACAGTTTGGCAGCCGAGAATTCGCGGACTTCACTAAAGACTGGGGATTTGAACATCATACCTCAAGCCCACGCTACCCAAGATCCAACGGCTTGGCAGAGAGTGCTGTCAAAACTGTAAAACAGATGATCAAGAAGTGCCAAGAAACAAAACAGGACTTTCACAAAGCTCTGTTAGCCTATCGCTCTACGCCACTCCAAAATGGGCTGTCCCCGAGTCAGATGCTAATGAACAGGCGTGTTAAGACAACCCTACCTGTTCATCCACAACGCTTGGAGCCAGAGGTGCAACAAGGTGTAGTCTCCGGCAAGATCCTGAGACGAAAACAACAAAAACAGGTGCATGATAGGAATGCACATCCGCTGAAACCACTTCACCCACAGGACAGAGTGAGGGTGCAGGACCATCGCACAGGACTATGGACAGTGAGAGCCACTGTTCTCCGCAAGCTGGCACCCCGATCCTACGAAATCAAGACAGACGTTGGCTGGACCTTACGTCGCAACAGAGGAGCCATACGAAAGGACACAGTACCGGACCAGACATCGATTGATCCTGAACTGCTGGAGGAGGAACTGGCTCTACAGCTAGCCACTGAACATCCGGTTGGGACTGAGGCACAAGAGCCAGCTAAACGGGATCATGCCACACCTGTTCGATCACTTCGGGAACAAACTTTGAGAAGATCCACCCGCACCATCAGGCGCCCAGAACGTCTGATAGAAACACTATAACTCTATTAACATGAGCGTCATCGTGCTAGACACTTTAGCTAAGACTCACATAACATACTTCAACCAGATCAGTAAAATTTTGGGTTTAGTCAACACTATAAGTTTAGTTTAAGGTTTAAGTCAACCTTGTAAGTTTAGTTTTCGAAAAAAGAAAGAAAAAAAAAAACATGTTCAGATCAGCTGCATTAGTCATCCTAAATTCCAGTCAGAAAAAGTGCATGATCAGTCGGCCCTTCCCAGAAAAACAAGGAGGACAAAGGCATTAAGACAGTTGATATGTTTTACTTTTATTAATCAAAAGTTATTAGAATGATTCAAGTTTGAGGCTTAAGAAAAAGTTTAAGAAAAATACTTTCTTTGGGGGAAGGTGTGTGATATAACGCATGACTGGTACAAGTCTATCATGTCTATCCTTGGTTACGTATGCAACGTACACACAATTGTACTAGTGTGTTATGTGTACAACCTCCCTGTAAACGATCAGACGATTGTCAATAAATCACTCC